GCGTAAGATTTTCCTATACAGTTATGTGTTTCCCTTTCCTGGTCCAACATCAGCCTGAAAGAAGAGACTAAGTGGGTGGGGAAAACATGCTCATTGCTCAAAAACATAACTTAAGTGTGGATATTATACTTTTTTTTTTTGCTTTCTACCATATTACAATATTGTTCCCTCATTGAAAACATGTCTGAAGAGGTTTTATTGTCATTCATGCATGTTTCAGTAATTTAGCGATCTCTCCTGGGCCCTATTTGAACTTTTCTTACCGTAAGCAGCGGGATTCTGTCCAATGCTCAGCCCACAAGCCTTCATCATCTGTACTCCCACACCACAATCCTCAAAACCATAACTGAAATGCGTAATACCTATTAATCTGTTGTTTTCATGAATATAGCATTTTCAAAACAATAAAAGCTAACACGGTGATCTAAATATGTTGTGTTAGCAGTTAATACCACCGAAGTAAAATACCCCCTCTTTAAGTTACCCTCCCAGTTTAAGTGTTTGTAGAGGCATTCCCAACAACACCAGACTCATAAGACTGATCCTGCTCTTCATTATGACAAAATGCTGACAGCTTAGCGTGCTCTTTCAGCCTCTTCAGTGGATGGCCCCGTTCCCTTCTGTAAGCCTGCGCTGATGGGATAAAAGGTGATCGATGTGAGAAAACCAGCAGAAGAGCAGGAGGATTTAAGGGCCTGCCAGTCTAATTGAGCTCAATTATAAAATCGGCAGTAATGACTCTAATGTTGATTTTTCTCGTGAAGTCGAGTAATCTCCCGCTGTCACGCAGAAATGTTGGAGTGGATGATAAGAACAGAGAAGCGAGAGAGGGAGGAGGAAGAGGGAGTGAGAGAAAGAGAGAAGGAGAGAGGGAGGGTGTGTGTACAAAAGCCAGATTTGCATGCTAATGGGCTACGCTGATATGAAGGGTGTTTAGTAGAACAGAAAGCAGCAATTATGCACTAGTTTGAAGGGAGATTGGCAAGTTAACATGATGAAGAGCGATTAGAACTGATGCAAAAAGATGAGACTGAATTAAGTTACAAGAAAGGTGAAAGGGCTACTACTACTACATTTACTACTACTACTTAGTGTTGTCTCGATACTAGAATTTGTGGTGTAAAAGCAAAATAAATCATTTGTCATTGTGAGCTGTAAAGTTAATTAATGCTTTTATCATATAGCTTCTGTAGTGGTGAAGGGCAAATGCTTTACTGACCTCATTACAGTAACATCTGTGGTCCAGAAATACTTGACAATGCCTGAACTCATTAGATCTCTGAAGCTAAGCAGGGTTGAGCCTGGTTAGTACTCGGATGATTGGGAGACCACTGGGGATACCGAATGCCACAGTGGGGAGACAGTGTTTCTAGCACAAACTGTTGTTGTGTCCTTATGCAAGAGCCATTGCTGAATGTGGTGTGCCTGAGGGATTTTTAGTGGTCAGAGAGGCCAAGTGTGGTGTGAATGAATAATGCAATGTAAAGTGCTTTAGGTGTCTTGAAATGCTCTATGAATCCAACGCATTAAAAATAATTAAACTAAATTGAATATTAAGTTATGAATGTAAAAAATAGATTTATAGAAAAAAGAAGTTTGTCGAAGCTGGTTAGTATTTAATGGTTGGTATTAATATTCTATTGGTTACATGTGGATTAACTTTAATAGTGTTTGAGAAATAATGATGACAAAAAAAATAAATGTCATGTCTCCTCTTGCGATAATCCGAAACTCAATTCCCACACTGAGACGACTCCAGGTTTTGGCTTGGGCACCGTGAGACATTCCTTTGGTTGGATTGCCTAAGAGGGAGCAGAGCCAGGCTGACATCACCACTGTGTAGTCTAGCCTCTTGTGATACCCACCACACTCCTCCTCTGTACTACACCGAGAACCATCAGCACCCAAGGGCCCCGGCACCCGAGATAGTGGCACTTTAGCGCTGGATACTGGCTCTCCTTCAGCAGATAGCACCCTTCTCACTGTCAGCAACACCAGTCGAAATGAGGTTAAATGGGCCTATCTGCACACCATGGAAGACTCCTCTATTTATATTAACTGTGCAACGGAGCCAGGGCTGTTCTTGGAAATGGTTATAAATAAGCATGGAGGTGTCCACAAGGATGGCTTTTTGTCCTGCCTGTACAGTAGTCTTTTGTCTAGAGAAATCAGACGCAGATGTGTTACTAGGCCTGTCATCGTAATTACTATATTGATCCATTGTGAGTAAGTCTACAAGTGATAAAAGCTTTATGTTGATTTGAACATTTCGGTTTCTTGTGCCGGTTATTCTGATGTCATCTTCTGAAAATACCAGATTTTGAGCATTATTATATATTCTGTAAGGATGTAATGATACCCAAATCTCTTGGTATGATATTTTCATGATATAAATCTCACAGTTCAATATTTATTGCGATATTTTGTGGAGAATAACAAAACTGTGAACATGTTACTTTTTCCTTTTAAAATGCCTTGATAAGACTTTGGTTCTGTCATAATCCAAACAATTAAGATTTAAACATGATTATAACAGTTATTTCTTCATGTATTTGGCAGTGAAATTGAGCAAAGGCTCATGGTCTATGTAGTTCCCTCTGTTTTTGTAGCTATAGCACCACACTATAACTTACGAAACTTGTAATTCTATATATATCGTGAAGGTCCACGATATTATCGAGAGCCTTGACGACACGATAGCACGATATTTCGGTTATTGATACATTCCTAATATTTTGTCCTTCTAATTACATTCATTTTAAATTATAAATCAAGGAGTATAGGGTTGTCAAAAGTATCAGATTAGTAGTATCAGATACTAATCAATACAACTAGGATTGACACTACATACTCATGTAAGTAAGTCAATCGACACTAAAAAAAGAAAGAAAATTGGACTTTTCTGTAATAGTTTTTAGTATAATCCTGAGCTGTATCAGAACAAGTATAAGAGTACATAGACTAGTATATGCCCGTGGACCACTATGGAACCTCCCTGGACAGCTGATGGATAACATACACATAAGAACACATGATAATATACAAGAAAGTACTACGATTTAATGTTGAAAATCACATTAAATTGTCTAAAGAAATTATCATCATGGTATCGGAATCAGTATTGAGTATGGAGTCCATTCCTGGGTGTAGAAAGAAAGTTAGAAATTTTAGTATCGTGACAACATTTGGCTGATCACGATAATTGCTATATTGACTTATTGTTCAAAATATGAATGATGGAACAATACTAGTATATTTTGGAGCTCAGTGTCTATCATGGATACTTCTTTGCACTACTGAGAAATTTGGGGTAATTTTTTGCCTCTCCTATACAATTTGAGCCATTAAATGTTGAATTAATAGCTTCTATGACTCATTACAGATGCAAACTAACTACTAAAAGTGTTTCTCTCTGCTGTTTATTTATTGCAGCTCATGATTTTTTAACAGCATTGTAGATTTAGAATAGATTTTGTGGTTTAAATCTGCTCTTGGGTTTTTGTATCAGTGTCATAAATACTGTAAGTTTCACTATTATCATTTATCACTTATATTTATTTCAGCTATAATAGTATATCACACTTCAAAATCTGTTATGGGAAGATGTAATTTGTGAAAGCTATGTATTGTGATCTTAAAAGTGAGTTTTACTGGTACATCATTTCTTCATGGGACAGATTAGTACTAGTACTGGTACTGTGGCAAGTACTGTACTATCTAATTACAGAGGAGATAGAAATCGTGTATTATTTATAAGGTTGCCATGAAAATCTGGAATCAATCTGTACTAAAACTAGTATAAAACTAGTTTGAGCAGGTATCGATACTAAAACTTATACTTAACAGGTATGTGACAATATAGATTTGCATATGTACATAAGATCATATAAAAAAGTACTGTGATTAATGTTGAAAATCCCATTCTATTCTATCTAAATAAAGACTGTTTTTAATGATCATTAAGGTACCGGAATCTGTTGAGTAGCAAGTCTAAGTTTGTATTTTTATTATGACACACTATTTATTCATATACAAGCAAAACTCTAGCTAACACACACAATGATTTCTCCTTGGTGTATGGAGACAGACGGTATACAACTCTAAAGAAATTACAATTGTAACTGAGTTAAACATCCTGTCCAATCCTTTTAATCAGAACTGCATAAGATGTAAATGTACAGCACAGTCTGTAGAGCACAAATACAAAAGCATCTACATCTCAGCTTGGTGTTGTCACATCATATGCACGAGTGGTCTCAGAGTTTGGAAACAACTGATCTAAAAATAGTTAAAAGTGTCATTTGAACGCACTGGAAATAATTATTTGAACAAACAACTTCCAACGGAATGGTGAACTTGTAACTTTCCCCTATTTGAAACCCCCTTGATGCCAACCACACAATCGACCTTATCTCCCACCATCTTTTTCCACTGCACTATTTTGGAGATTTGGGGAAAATGAGAGTAGCAGCTGTTGAGTTGAGGTAACATCCACCAAAAACCCACTTACACAGAGTCTAAACGTAATCAGATGGAGCACAATTTCCACCATTTGAGTTACACTTACTTAAGTAATCTTTTGAAGAAACTGTAGTTTACAGAGTAGTTTTTGGACATCGTACTACTACTCCTACTTGAGTAATATTTAATTTGACATAACAGTACTCTTACTTGCACTTTTACATTTGTGTTTCTCGCACTGCTACATCAGATATGATTTTGTTTTTCTCATTTTTATGTCTGTCTTTGGAACTACAAGATTTGGTGCATTATTTAATATTTTGGTGTTCCATTTACATTCACTAAAAATTACAAATCAGATGTTATGTTACTCTTATTTGAGTAGTAGCTGTAGTTCTGAGTATCGAGTCAATTCCTTAGTGTCAAAATTGAGTTTGAAATTTGAGTATCGTGACAATAGAACTTGAGTAATATTTTAAAGAACCATTACTCTTTGTACAATTTTTTGACTCCACCCACCTCTGATGATTCAAACTTACCCAAAAGCTGGACTCCTCTGGTCAGCCCGTACACGTCTATGAGCGCCCAGAGTGGTTCAGACATGTGCACGCCGCTGAAGAAAAGCATGGGGCTGGATTGGTTGACGCGGTAGAAGACACGCCCCTTCTTGTCCACCCAGAAGGAGATGATGGTGCCTTCGTTGGAGAGCTCCTCTGGTAAAGCCTTGGCCCAGAAGCCGCTCTGAGACACCAGGTCGGGGCAGGCGTACTTGGGCAGGTGGTCCGGGTTGATCCTCGAAGGGTCTTTTGAAGTGAAGCCCAGACGCAGGGCACCACTCCAGCAGCACTGCTTCTTCGTGATCTGAGGAGAGCATTGAGAAATATGAGGTTTTGAGAAATGTTTTACTTTTATTTTGAAATAGTTTAAATTTTGCTGATAAATTAGAATTAGGTACTTTGACAGAAAAGTAATCATAATTTATTTCTCCTTTTTATCAGTCACGATTTTCCAAATGAATTAGATTTTTTTTTCCAAATATGGCTTTTCATATATTGTTCATGAAGATAGAGAATTCAGTCTTTTAGCGATTTCGCACCAACATATATCCCTCTAAACCCTAAATTTGTTTTTCTAAAATAAAAATTTTGCACAAATTGCACAAACATTTAACACCTATATGTTTAAATGTGGTTGCTAATGTAAATAGAATAAGGGTACCTATTTACAATACAATAGTAAAACATAGACATATTTTGTTTCTGTTTACATTAAAGTTAAACTGGATCACTGTGCTTGACAACTGACTGCAATTTCCTACAAAAGTTGAAAGGTTTTCTATAGAGGGAACCCACCCAAAAACTGACAAGGTAAGGCAAAAAAAAACAACAAACAAATAAAAAAAAACATATTTGAACTAGGATCGCCTTGCTGTGCTCCTTCATAACCCGATTTTTTTAAACAATCCTTCACAAATTTTACATGTTTCATTTAAAGCTGGGCATTATGTCAAAAAATTAATTATTACCTCCGCCAAGGAGGTTATGTTTTTGCCGGCGTTTGTCTGTTTGTTTGTTTGTTTGTTTGACTCTTAGCAACTTAACTCAAAAAGTTATGGACCGATTTTGATGAAATTTTCAGGATTTGTTAGAAATGTGAAAAGGAAGAACTGATTTCATTTTGGGGGTGATCTGGAAGAAATCCTGGATTCTGGATCACTTTGAAATTTTAGTTAACATTGTGGTAAATGGGGCCAAAAATTTTGTTTCTCAATATCTCGGTTAATTATTGACCAAATCCCATGAAATTTGACTCAGGGATGGACAATGGGATCCTCTTTCATATTCCAAAGGCTGATCCAGATCTGATCCAGAAGACTGATTTTATTGCAATTTATATAAAAAATGGGGGTAGTCCTTGGCAGAGGTCTGCGCTTTCTGAGTGCTTTTCTAGTTATTGTTCTTTTTTTGCTCATACTGTTTGACTAGAAGTTTCTATTTTATTTTCTCTTTCTTCTTTGGTATAACATATGAACAGGGCCCACTCTTAAAATAACATAGATGAATTAATTCATTATAACCATATAAGAGAAATGTCCTACAAAGTCTGAACTCTGCTTCAAACCTTTTAGTTTTTTACCTTTTACTGACAGAGGACTGACTGTAGACCTCTCAATTAAAAAGACCCAAGCTAATCAGTGACTACTCAAATGTATTACATCTCCATTCAGTTAAAATGTAATTAAATGTAATTGTCAACCCCAGCCCAGTGTGTTTGTTTACCTTGAGTCGGACCTGCTCGTACACGGCGATGGGCCTGTTGGTGAAGGTGATGCCATTGCAGAAGCTCCCCTGTCTCTTGACGATCCTCTGGGACTGGTCCATGAGGATCTGACAGCCTTTGGTGCTGGGGTGGAAGAGGAGAGGGGAGGAGGACAGAGCACAGGGCTGGAGGGGAGGGCAGCGCTTGGGCTTGTGATGGCATCGCTGCGTTGTCGTGGGATATGGGACGCTCATAGTGTCTGTGAAGGGAAATCATCAGGGTTAGGTTATGCCTGTTACAGTGCACCAAAAGGGTTATACAAAAGGGCTTTGAATCGTAATTACAGTTTGAAAGACTGTAATTAGCAAATTAGCAAAGATAAGTAACATAATTTCCTCTCCAAACTAAATATTCAGTTTTAATTTAAAATGTTACGATTCCCCGAGTGCAAAGACTGCAGCAGGATATGGTAGTGAAAAGACCATGCACCACAAGCTATAAGTTATGAGAACACCTTGTGTCAGCTGTTTCCAGTTTACATAAAACGACTTGTTTTGAGGCTCTAAAATTTAAAAAATCAGAGCATTGCACTTTGAGATTAGATGCAAGTCAATACTGTTATTTGTGAAATGTGGTGCCTAATGATTTTTAATGCACAGAAGATAAATGGCACAGGAAGTATCTACTATCTCTAATCTACAGCATATTCACCATGATCCTCGCTACACATGAGGAACTACTCTCACCTTTTTACTTTTAAACAACGCTTCAAGCTGGATTTAGAGCACTGTTTTGTGGACTGGGAGTTACTATTTGCAAAGGACAAATTCTATTGATTATATAGATGAGATTGTGCAGTTTAATTTTATAGCTTTAGAAGAGTTGAGTAATAAAGTTGTCTCTATTTGATGAGTTTGTATCGTGTGCTCCTCTGTCCGTCACACTTTCTGGTATTTTACTAGCTGTGGCTGTGGTGATGTTTTGTGTTTACGATATAACAGAGCAGCTCAGAATCGCCATACGAGGATCCAGTAGTGTGTGGCGGGCTGAACTCTATATAAAACCTGTTAACTGTGTAGTTCTTAAATGCATGTGATTCTTGTATTAGCAGTTCTAGTTCAAATTTCAGTCTTCACTCAAACATTTCACAAGTGCACTCTGAACAGAATCTCAAATCAGAAAAATTACAATTGGATTTTTCAGCTCTGCTATCTGCAAAGTCAACAAAAATGTTAAACTGCTTTATATGCTCAATATTGTTGCTTTTGACCAAGATAAGATGTAGCCATCAAAACTGTGAGGAGTTTTGTTGTTCACAGAATTATAAAATGCATGTGGTCCAATACCAAAATATTTTAAATGAAAAACAAGGTAATTTTCTGTATTTTATCAGTCCAAGCTTTATCACGTCACCAAAGTGTGTGCACCTGCTATCAAAAGATGAAGTCCAGGCCAAAATAAATTGATTGCAAAGATATAGGGACTTGACGGCCACAGGCACACGCACGTCATGCACATGAAAGGGGAAAATACAGCTGTGCAAAGTTAGTCAAATGACCCTTATTTTACTAATGGTTATTCTGGCTATAAAGCTGTATTTGATTTGGCTTGTGATACATCAGATGAATTCTGTATAACGGGAACACATTTTAGGATTAAAGGGATAGTTTGTAAGATTTTGATTTTAAATATCACAAACATGACTTAAACATGATGAAATTGAATTACTGATTTAATGATAACAGTGATGCTCAATTATATAAACAGTGGACATGATCAACAGGTTGTTTATGTAATAATTTGGAGTTTTGGTTCTTAAGATTACTATCCCAAAAGCCATGACATGAATCTCTCAATGCCAGTCCATGCTGAACTCCAAATGCCTGAGCACCTGCATGAAAAGCTTGTATGTGTTCTCCATCTGCAGGTTAAGGCACTGGCAGAGGTGGGACCAAGCCGTTATTTTGCAAGTCTCAAGTAAGCCTCAAGTCTTTGACCTCAAGTCTGAGTCCCAAGTCAAATACAGGCAAGTCCAAATTGAGACTCGAGTCAGTTGCCCAAAGTCCAAGTCAAGTCCAAGTCATTTCAAGTCTTTAAACCAAAGTACCAAATATAGCTTAGATTTTTGCAGTTTATATGAATGTTAAGATAAACTGTACTTATAAAGTCATAGTATATTTATGAGTATTTATAGAGTATAGAAGAGTTGTAGAAATACTATTTTTTTCCTTTTTAAATGTCTTGACAAGATCTTAGAGTGAATCATTAGGCTCAGAATAGAAAGAATTCCAATTTAAAAGAGCTTCTCAAGTCTTCTCAAGTCACAGGCCTCTAGTCCGAGTCAAGTCCCAAGTCACTGACCTTCAAGTCTAAGTCGAGTCCCAAGTCTTAGTCCATTTTATCAAGTCAAGTCTCAAGTCCTAAAAATAGTGACTCAAATCTGACTCGAGTCCAAGTCACGACTTGCAAGTCCCCACCTCTCGGCACTGGGAACCCAGCTTCAGTTGTGATTGCTCATTTTCAATATAGTGTAAAATAGACATTTTGGACATGAATTGGTTAATTTTCCTGTGTTTCTTTTTAGATGACTAACAAAATATTCATGCTATTTTCAGGATTCAGTAAATGCTTTTATGAGCTGATGGAAATCTACAGCCATCTACTGCCTTGGGCGAATGAACACACATGGCAGCCATTCTGCGTCAGTGGTCTTTTTTACCACCAACAATGACTTCCAAGGACACAGTAGCTGTATGCACTGCCAGTAACTGGGAATAAAACCACATATCTTTTGATTAGTGGGCAACTATCTTTACTAATTGAACTTTTGACATCCCAAACTATCACTTCAATACCTTGAGGCAAATATATTCAATGTATCATGTAGGTGGTAAAAGCCAGTGTATGCAACCCATATACACATATATATAAGTGTGTGTATATAACTACTGCAAAGTGCAACTGGAAATGAAGGAAGTGGCAAAAATTAGCCACGGAAAAAAAACATGTGACTCATACCAATCACCAGTTTTCTACTTCCTCCTCTGAGAAAAGGTGAAATATAGTCCGCCCTACTTATAAGAAAAATATTCCTGATAAATCACGTCCCTTCTGTCAGTGTGTGTGTGCATGGTGACAGATTTAGTGGAGGAATCTTGGGTAAAGAGTGCACATAAGTCCCTCCTGGAGCCAAATGGTCCCTGTCTCCCGCTGCTGGTGGTTTGAAAACACTTCTCACATGATGTTTGGATTCATTTAGAGCCAGACTTCTGATGATTCATAGAAGCAAAGGATATCTCACTCTCCTGATGTGTCAACAAGTCTCATATTCTATGCATGAAAAATAGGATTAAAAGAAACGCTAAACTTACGAACTAAACCTAAAAAGTTGAAATGTTGTGTAAAAACCTCAAATAAGGACACAGGTGAGGACAAGACATCGCTTTGACATAGCCCACATCAGCTTTGAAAAAAATATGTGATTTTACGCAATGCAATTAGATTTTAATAACAGGACTCTGTTCAATGTTCACAGTTTAACACATTCATAAGATCTGACAAAAAACATGAACTAACACAAAAATCACATTTCAGAACAGTTTGTGTATGTACAGATATAAACTATAGGGTTAACAGTTTTAATGTACAATCAGAGGATATATTGCTGCAGGGATTTGCTAATTGCGAATTTAATTGGGATTAATTGTGCAGCCCTATTCTCGGTAGTAAAATTGTATTTACTAACTATTAGCAAAGCACCACCAATAATGCTAAAAATATCCATGTAACTGAATTAAATTTTTTAGGCTTGACTAGAGATGCACGAATCCAACTTTTTCAGTTCTGATGCATATTCTGATAATACAGCTTTAAGTAGCAACCAATACCAGTGTAGAGACATTTATTTCCTTAAAACAAAAAATAAAATAAGACAAAAGTGATCCAAATTTGTTAAGTAGCTGTTATTTATCCCTCAAGTACCTACTGAACAAATTTATCTAAAAAGAAGCTCAGACATTACGAGCCAGTAAATAGTCTTATTACATGAATTTATATGTCCGACCAGCTTATTTCTGTAATATTATAATACAATATAGCATCGCAGTAAGACCTGTTATCCTATGTTTTATGAGATTTCCCCTTTTCTTTCTTATCCTGTCCCATATTAGCCAGCCTCCTCTTCTGTTATCTCAGGTTGGCCAGAGTGACCTTGGTGGTTTAGAGCTGTCATCCCAGTACAGTGATCATTTACCCCAAAAGCCACAGCCTCTACACCATTTTAGTTGCAACGTCAAGTTTGGAGATGACCTGGAGAGAACTGTAAATGATCCCAAAATGGATTCGTTTTGATACGTCTTCAATTACGACTATATATAGACTACCGCAAATGCTAATAGAATCTGCTAATGTTTGGATTTGATTTTCCCTTGTCCAAGAGCACCTTCAAAACATGAATTATCTTGACTAAAACTTCCTGTCCTCCACTGTTTTCAAAGTGTCAAGAGTCTGTTTTGGATTTATCTATTTTTTATTCATCTTTTTCATTGCAGTTTTGCTAAGGTTGTGTGCTTCATATCTCTCTATCTTGTAAAATAGATCTTGATGTCAATGGGCCCTAATCTGGTTATGAGGTTAAAGAAGACACATTGTGCTTTTGTCTGCTGTATAGTTATAATCCATGACATCTATCTATATCTATTTGTATCACTGATTAAATAATATTGGAAAACGAAATAAGTACAGAGAAGTGGCAGTGAAAACGGGGATTGATTGGTAACATGGTGTCTTGAAAATAAGCGACTAAAGATTACTCGAACATGCTTAAATCACTCCAAATTCAACTTCAGATGATATAACACAGGTAAAAGTTAAAAAAAGAGTTGATTTTGTATAATACGTCTGCTTTAAGGTTTACTTTTTAACCCTCATTGGGGAAATTAGCTCTCTGCATTTGGCCCATCCTTCAATGCTACTAAGACATTGGAACTCAACTTCAGATCTTGAGCTGGGCTTGGTCAGGAGAACCTTAGCTGGAAGATTTTGGTGTGTATTTTGGTTTGATGGGAAAGAAGTGCCCAGAGAAAACCTGTTCTAATCAAGCACTGTATTCCCTCTTCAGAAATGTTGCAATACCAGACCCTGAATTTATTAAAAAAAAGTCTCAATATTTGTCAGCCAATTCACTCATTTACTTTCCCAAGAACTCCTCCTCGGCTCCAGCCAAGTGTTCTGGCCTGACTGTAGCTCTGGTCTTGGTTG